GAAGTATTGAGAGCCTCATATAACAGCTTTATTTACAGCTTTTCAGTGGTTAACAATGAAATTGAAATCATGTAAGAGGTTTTTTACAACGTAATTTTGATGACGTAAGAATTCCACTGTCATAAAAATTCCATCAAATATCAAGTCTTCCGAGTCTCTGGATAGCAGTAACACAAAGGACTCAAAGGATGATTTCTCAGACATTTAGAATGAGAATCATCTTCATTTATCCGAGTAATTCCTGAATATAGGACGAATCCTGAATCGGTTTGTCGAAGATGAGCCTGAATGAGAAATAAATCGTCTACACCAAATTCCAATGAAATATAGACAAAAAAACTATTAGGCAAGGATTTAGCATCAATCCTATCCATTTTCGGCACCCACCCAATCGACTACATATATTCAAAGCCTTAGCGGCTTCTGAATGCTCATTTGGCATAAACAATGTCTTGCTGGGCCACTTTACAGGTCAGTGCTTTTACCCTTTCAGAAAAATCAGCTAGCATACGACTAATTCAGAAGTTAAAAGAAAACTATCAACTTGTTTCCTCTTGATGTTTTGTTTACTTCTCTGATTCGGCAGCAGAATACGATCCTAGAGCCTCACAAAGTTGGCGACTAAATGCAAAACTTAGGCTTCGGAGGGGCTCAGCCCACACTTCCACTTTCCGTGTACCGTAATCTTCATCTCTTACACTACAGAACCTCTTTGCCCTCGCCTTCTTAATGGCTTCCGACGAAGAATCCGTATCTGTGCATGAGAAGCACGAATAGGGTCCGTGTCCCGTCCGGGGCCAACATTTTGTCTATAACTCATCAATCTTGTGAGATTCTGTTACCACTTCATATCATCGTTATCATGATGCTGACATAAATTCGAAAATCTATCCATCTTCAACCTGTACAGTGTAGTAATGCAAGAGTGACCATCCAACTTTGCCTCACCCCTTCCTTTCCTCTATTGAAGTTTTATGCAATTACCGTTCGATACAATGGGAAATCTTACCGAATTCATAAAACGATGCAGGAATGGAACAGGACACAACAATGGGATAGGTCAATGTTCACCATTTCTAAAAGTAACTTGAAAGCACAGCTTACGATGAAAGTGGCCTCCGCGATTCCCTACTAAATAAACTTGTGGCCCAAAATCAGCACATTAGACATCATCGGGTCGAAAAACGACTTCGGTAGGGCGTTATAAGCGCTTAGCCGAAGTACACATCCGAAAGAGGCCGTGTTATGACGGCATCTTACGGCTGCACCATCCACAATAAAAGATTGGGACGCATACAAATAATACGCTTATATGAGAGGGACCCAGACTTTTACAGACACGAAATCTCGTACAGCCTCCTTTCTCATTACTTTTTAGAAGCCACATCTTTTTTTTTTCTTGAAAACGCCAATTTCCACATTCCCTTCGCCAAATTTGCACTATTCTGCACCATAGCTTCCACGATTTCACTTGAACTAGTTACCTCAGAATCACCATGAACTGTGCCTACAACAAGAGACGGATTTAGGGTTAGCAGAAGCAGAAGGTGAAGAAGTGATCCCGACTATACTGACCCCTATAAAACTCGAAATTCATTGAGTTACCATGAAATATCCATCAGCCGGGGTGAAACGAACAACGATCTCATATAGTGAGACATCTCCGTCCCGAGTTTCCGTAGCACTGTATGTCTGAAATGAAAGTCAACTGAGATTTCATGTGCAATGATTGTAAACGGTAGATGGATAAAGTGGTGTGTAAAACAATTACATTTGAAGCTGGTTACTGCAAAAATAACAACATATACTTAAGCTCCTCTTACGAATTTGCTCCCATTCTCATGACCCGTATCATTCCCCCGGTGAAATCATATGAAATGCTACTCAGGTTTCCCACAAGGGATGCAGTGCTCCTCCTGCACAGGTACTCTTCTATGCGTAGCTTCCAACACAATGAGTGTACGAAGAGAGCGGAGAGGAGAGAGGAGCAGCAAGATGGATACTTGCAACTTCCCGTAGGCTCTTCGATGACCCCTCTTCGGTTCAAAACTGCCTCGAACAAGGAGAGGTTTGTTTGTAAACTATTAGGAGCGGTGCTATCCTTCTTCGAGCTTATTGTGCCTATTGTCACTGAAGTGTGAACGAAGTCTGTGCTCTATTTCTTGATGTAACTATCTCACATTGAAGTAGTTAAGTTAAGATTTAGAAGGAAAAGGAAAGGAAAAGGTAGCGCAGAGGTCTAAGCTGAAAGTCTGTCGCAGATTGGTTCACTATGTAAATTACACTGATAAGACGTGCATCCATCTTGCTTACGGAGCCACCAGAACATAATAAAAGAAGCTTACTGGATATTGGCTGCCACATGGAAGGACTTCACTCCCACACAGTGAGAGTGGCCCTTTTCAACAGAGAAATTTCGAGAAAGAAACACATGTATTTAAAGGTACAGTTCGCCATGATCTTGGGTTATCCAGATTATGACCAAGAACGAAAGAGGTACGTGTGCATCCTAGCGCGAATATCGCATCTGTATCGCCTCGAGACTCGTCTGAGACATCATCGGTCGATGGGTGTCCAACCAATTCGATAATGGGCTCCTCTTTTTCCCTAGCTCTTTAGTTTTTGAGCGCGACAGCGTCCTATCTATTACCCTTGGGAGCCACAGGGTAATTCTGAGGAAAAATCTAACCAGAAACGTAAGAAACGCGAACTCTGCCTTAAAGTAAATCATAGGTGTTCGCCAAGAAGAAAAGTAGTATGTCCTGGAATTTGGAAGTTCAAAGAAAAAGTCCATTCGAAAACTAACTGACCGAATGATACGTCTGATTTTGACACTTTTCATCAATCCCTTCATTTTTTAGCAAAACATTCAGTTGTTCTGCGAGAAAACGGCCGGCCCTTTCCTGTTCGACTGTATCTCTGAAACCTCTCACTTACAACTTTCCTTCATGAAGGAGTTTTTTTGTAAAATTGCAACAATCTATGATACTCACTCTATTTTTGTTTTATTGTACTGACAAAGACAATACTCTGCTGGAATTGGAAGTGTCCGGCAGTTTCTTGGTCCACGCCATTCTCGAAGCAATGAGGAGCCTTTACTCAAAGGTTCCATGTTTTTATATGACGTGTTTGTGAAGTTACTGGATGGTTGCAGCTAAACGTCTCACAGTTTGGTTAAGGGCTTGGAACGTCCATACATTCATACAGTCTCTATACACAGGCTAAGTGAAGGTCGAATGGGGTTCGAGGAATAGAAGGAGGGCCTACAACATATCTTCACGAGTCAGGGTAACACAGCTTCCCGTACATGGATGAGTGTCTATTGACGCAAACCTTCTGAGACTGTGATTTTTATCTGTTTGAGAGTCAACTATTTCAATGCTGTCTTCGTATGCATAGTATGTAGGCCATGAAAAGCATATGAAGGGCTCCCATGTGGGCAAGGTTATGTACAGATTTGCTCAGCGCTGCGATTCTAAGTGCACAGCAAGGGATATGGGGAGATCTGATTCCTCAACTTTTGCAGCTCGATCTCATTCTGCCTGAGCATCAGGGAATTCGGGAATGGCGCTCTAGATGGAAGCCACCTTGCATTTAACTTTCATTCAGGACCTACCCCAGACGATTCTGGTACTAACTAACTTATCTCAAAGGGATGGAGGGCATGCTAGTGTGGGTGGGCAGTAGTCCAGGATTCCCTGACCTTGTGTGCGATAGTGCGCCACTACACCACCTCCGCCCACGAAGTAAATTAGATTCCACGAGAGTACCAAAGCGGAACGAACCTTCAGAATATCCATGAATGTGGCGTGTAAGTCAAAAGGAGTCACTAGTTCTCTCGACTTCTTCATCAATTGTTTGTGTATTGAAGTATTGCGGTAGCGCTTCGGAAGCGAAACGATCAAGAAAGGATTGCTCTTCTCGTATCTGCCCAGTGGCACTATATCCATCTGTGCGAAAAAAAAACGAAATAAAACCAGGTCTAACTGTTGCCTTCTACTCTGCAATGTAACGAATTTAGTTTTGAGGGCACTGCAAATTCGGGACCAGAGTTCTCAATGATGGGCGAGGAACCTCTTGACGCTGTTGCTACTACTTCACCAGAGATGAACTTACAGTGCACCACCGATTTCTTACCTTATAGTTTACCAGTTGTACGACGTACTCATTATGAACAAAGGCCTTATGCGTGCAGATAGTTGGGTATCACCGAGAAAAAAAAGGGTATGCACTCTCAGAATAGAAAGCGAAATTGTCGCGCGTGGCCAAGACGCCGCGTCGCTGTAAATGTGTCCAGTAACACACTTGACAGCATCTGTTTTGGCCGCGCAAATGAGCTGCGCGGATTATAAGCGAACTGACCTAATGGCACACATTCCGAAAAATGATCTAAAACTCACTGCTTTGTCCCGAGGTCCATGGTCCGCAAAGAAAAATAGAAAAGCGTCGTTCAAGTATTCAGTGTTCCGTTTAAAAAAGTCCAAGAACTGGTTATCAGTATGGTAGATAGTTTTCATGGTATCGTGAGCCAAATACACGGGCCAAACATGGCATATTTTTGGTACGCCTAAAAAAAACTAGTAAAAAACATTAAATTTCGATCAGACTAAGCTACAATTGCCGTTTTTGAATGCCAACATCTTCAGTTACCTCTTACTAATGCCCGCAACTCAAAGTTAACCTCTGAAGAAGCTACTTCCTGAATGAAAAGACTTCATTGAAAGAGCCTAGAACCAAGGTTCTTGACGCTTATAACTAGAGATAAGGTTGGTTTTTGAGTAATAGCGGCCTGAGGCGAACGATGAAGTTAGAAGCCGACCGAAATATGGAGATCAGACCCTCCCTGAGAATTATCTTACCTGGATAAGAACGCATGAATTTCTCCATATACTCCAACATATATAAATGTGGTTCACCACAATACTTATANTGAAGAAGCTACTTCCTGAATGAAAAGACTTCAATGAAAGAGCCTAGAACCAAGGTTCTTGACGCTTATAACTAGAGTTAAGGTAGGTTTTTGAGTAATAGCGGCCTGAGGCGAACGATGAAGTTAGAAGCCGACCGGAATATAGAGATCAGACCCTCCCTGAAAATTGTCTTACCTGGATAAGAACGCATGAATTTCTCCATATACTCCAACATATATAAATGTGGTTCACCACAATACTTATAGTAAAGACTTCTCAGAGTGTAGGTTTCTTCCATCCGGACATCAAATGGCCTGCAATAACCAAATTGAGTGACTTTATATCGAGCTAGAATACAGTACTTGTGTATTCTTCTTGTGTATATATTCGGAAAAATTGAAGCTGTGGATGTGCTTATGAAAAAACTATGGAAAGGGGCTTGTGATAAGAAAAAATTAAATAGTGAAGCCGATTATCGATTAAGGGAAGTCTGGGATTCCTCTAGCTCTCCAAAGCTCGTACTTCGGCTCAAAAGAATATTACAAAACCAGCTAGCAAAAAGATCGCTATTTTCTCCTCTATCAACGTCATTTCTACACGACAGACAACTTCATTTACTCTGCCGGGACCGAGAATAGTCAAAGGTTAAGTCGCAGAATCTGCGAGATACAAGATTCCCTAGAACTATGTAGAAAAATTGGGAAGTTGTACGAG